ATCAATGTGGAATAAGTGGAACCCAAACAAGGAAGAGAAAAAAGACTGTAGCTGAATCTTGTGGAGGATCTTGTTCGTTCGCTTTATCAGAGACTCGCTCGTGCAACAGAGACAACTGTCAGAATTCGGGAACTCATACAAGCCAAGGTTGCTCTTGTAAACCGGGATATAGAGGAACGTGTTGTGAGAAAGGTAAGTTAAAAAACTATATCGTTTGTAAAACACACAAAATCTCTTCATACAAGTATAAGGTGTGCCTATGAAGGTGTCTGTAAGAAGACGGTTCGAGTGTATTGTTATTTGTGGCTATAGCAAGTTTTGTATCATGAAAGGGACGTGTTGTGAAATTGAAGAAAAAGGCAAGTGCAAATAAAATTTCCGCAAGCAGAAGTTAAGAGCTAAAAAAATAATGCAAAATCATGTTCGTCTTTTAATTTAAGACGAAAGAACGCCAATATTTTCAAGGACTGAGTTTTAAGTGACTTTCTGTTGAACCTTCCTAGAGCTGCATTGTTAATTGCTTTATTAATGTTTCATGTCACCCAGAATAGCTCTTTCGTCGGGTCTGTCCCATATATTGCATGATATACGTCCAAGGAGCTACTCTGCAAATCTTTGGATGGGGGTGTGTAGCTGGGACACTAAAACTCTTACCCTATACTAGACCATGATCAGCTTGATTTCGCAACCCTATACTAGACTAGGCACCAAAAACCCCTACGCTATCCCAGACTAGCTATTTTCAATGCGAAAACTTTATCACTATCGTAGTCAAACATACGCTACCTAAACCAATATCTTACAAAGTCACTTCTGAGTTTCAATTTTTATTACAGAACTACCCATGTTAGATACACTAGCCACTTTCACGGAAAATTATATCGTATTCTACACCAAAACGTTAACTGTCTGATTTCTATACCCTATGCCAGATTAAACTGCCTGAAAACCATACCCTTCTCAGCGGCACATATCCATATACCATATATGGGAGTATGCCCCCTCCCTCCGAGATATACCAAAAAACCCGTATTCATGTGTATGTCGTCTTGAGCTTCACATTGATAATAGTCAAAAAGTTTGTAAAGGATTATTTGATAAACAGTTTTAGCATAATTCCCCATCCCGTAAAAAGTCAAATGGCTGGTAAAAAAAAGGACATCTGGCGAAATTTCACGTAGCTCATTCTTTTCGTTGTCAAAATCACCTTCAGATGGAAAGGAAATTTTCAATTGATGATTAGTGCAAGATGCGCTGGCCTGAATCTGTAGCTAGCGCGAATACACACTGAACAATAGGCCTCGTTTCATATATCAATATTCTAAGATGATTTGGGGGCTTCCAGGACAAAATTGCAAGTTGGTAAGCAATGGTTAGTAATTGCAATTGGTAAGTTTCCTTTGTCGCTTAATTTCCAAAAGAGACTTAGATACAAATAAAACAAATCAGAGACGTTTGTCCTGAAAACCTCGGATATATCGAAC